CCTTTCTTTCTTTGCGTATCGAACATACGAAACATACACGTCTGTAAAGAAAATACGTTCGAATCTACCGCGTTAGCGTTTCTCTTTTTTTTTTCTTTTTTTTTTCCAGCCTAGAGCTTTAGCCACGGCACCCTTTTTTTTCTTTTTCCTTTTTCGTTCTCTTTCAATCATTTAATTTCATTCTTTCTTCCTGTTTTACTTAAATATAAAAATACATAGCCAGTCTATACATAGAGCGTGCAAAGTGGCACAGTGAACTGAGTTACCAGATATCCTGGATAGTTAACTACCGCTCTCGACGTTCGACGGTGGTTCCATGTCATCGTGACTTCTGCTCGTGTTACTCGACACGGGGAGACCTGAGGTTTTTGGCAGCGGGTTAGTTATTACACTATCACTATGAGATGTTGCAGCATTATACACAGAGTTATCAAAGTGTTGCAAGCATGGAAATTCCGGGCCAGGCAGCAGTAATGTAGTCTGGGTGGGAAGATTCGTTAACGACAGCATCCCTGGTTTCATCATTTGCTTATTAAAACAACTCCTTAATGCCTCTTCGATTAAATTTGCTATTTTATCACGATCGTTCTGTAAATAAATAAATAACGTGCAATAAAGTATTGAAGGTAATTGCGTTCGCCCTTCTCTACTCTCTTACTTTCTTTGAATGTCTATGAGCAAATGAGCAAATAATACCTCGTTAATAAATCCAAAATGTACAAGCTCCTGCGCGAGGAGCATCGAAGTATCTAATTGACTCACAGGACACGTCAATTGCCTATTCATTTTGTCATCCATTCGCAATAATATTGTCATCTATAAAACACACCAGCGTGAAAAAAGAAAACAAGAATACAAAGGTTAGTAGATCCAAGTATAGAGTTATGTAACTCATCTCACTCACAAGTAATTCACAACTTTCTTCCCTAGGTTTAACGTTACACATCATATTAACTACTCTTCGAGACTCGACGTCCACCGGTTCCGGTGTGACGGATTTCACCGATTCGGTGACCTCGGGCGATATCGCCCGAGGTCGTACAGGTGGTGGTAATTTCGCCATGAACGCTGTCAGCGGATATATACCATATCTGTCGATACAAATGATTATTCGTGTGTTATTAAAGGGCAAATATGCTTGAAATGTTGCAAAGGAGAAAAAAAAAAAAAACACATGTGGCATATGTGTTTAACATACTCACTTTACATCCTCCACGAACTTCTCCAACTTCTCTGTAACGGGAATATCGCTCAGTCGAATTTGCTGCGGTGGCCGACCTTGGTATTTAATTTCCGCGACTACCGTATCAGGTCCGTAGAGCCTTTGCAGTACCTCGTCCGTTATCGTCTCCGAGATGTTGGCTGGAAAAAGAGGAAATGTCAACGGATGTCTGTGTGACTTTTACCTACATTCTACAATCGCTGGCTTGATTAGTTTCTTATGGAAAAGGCTATACACCTATATTTAGAACGCACGACAAATTGTCTGGTGAACACGAGACAATGACAGAGATTAGATAACGACGATATTATTAGACTTACTGGCTGAGTTGACCAGCGCGTGGGCAGCGAGCAGTTTCAACGAATGTACCTCGAACAACACAGGATGAAAGAGCAGCTCCCTCGCGCTTGGTCTACTGAGCGGGTCTACCTGGAGACACTTCCGAATGAAATCTTTCTGTTGGGCGTCGTCCAACGACTCTATCGTTTTCCGCACGTTGTCGTCGGTGACGATCGTGCCGGTGTCACCGTTACCCTGAATCTCCAGCGCGGCCATTTCCAGGGCGCACATCCCAAACGAATAAATGTCGATGGCAGGGGTTACAGAGTCTGAAAGATTATTGCATTATTAACGTGTTGCAACGTACAAGCAGATCGTGTGGTCAATCCATAGTGTGCCAAGCCACTTACTTCCATATTCAGGCGCTACGAAGTGCATGTTCTTCATGTTTGCCCGGCACGTTTTCACATGGTGGTGAATCGCATCGGGAGCCACTGTAACGACAACACCGGGCACACCGTTACTTCAGGAAAATATATGTACACTTCAATGAAAGTATTTAACAAGCAATGAGTTAAAAAACTTTCTCCTTTTTTTGAGGGGGGAGGGGAGGGGGAGGGAGGCAGCAAAATTAAAAAAAAAAA